GTTTGTGCTGCGATGGTTGGAAAGTAAGTGTGCAACGTGGCGTAGGTGTGTGGCGACACGGTGTTGACCGGAACCTCTTGTATCCAGCGATGTGTCATGATCTCAGGAGGTGGGCAGATGATTGGTATCTGTAGGACAGGTGGTGGTGGGCGTGCAGGTATAAGTGGATCTTAAAGGGGTTTATTTGGATATTAGTTTTGTTTGCACTGGTTGTGGTGTGGCTGACGTCGGCATCTCGTTGGCGCTGTGATTGTCCTTTGTTTGTTTGACTGCTTGATGGTGGCATAGGTGGGTAAGGGTGGTGCTAGCTTGGCTGGTAACGTGTGGGTGGCCTGGGTGACCTCCTCCTTTTCCTCCTCCTTCTCCTTCTTCTCCTCCCCCTCCTCCTCCCCCTCCTCCCCCCCCCTCATCCCCTCCTTCCTTCCCTCTTCCCCTTATCCTCCTCATCTCTTCTTCCTGCTCCCCTCCGCGGCCCCCTCTACTTAGCTCCCCCCCTGGCCATCCGAGCACATGTGCCAGTCTGCTCCTCGGCCCCAGGCTGTTGAACAGCATGGAAAACAACGACTGGGGGCCTCTGAGGCGGTCCCTGCCCTGTGGCTGCCTGGAAGCCCTCAAGAACAGTGGCCAACCCATGCGGCCTGGGAAACCTTCGAAGGCCCCCCCCTCACACCCACGCCGAGTCAGCCAATCCAACCATGCCAGCTCAGCCCGCCCAGCCCTGTCACCGTCATGAGCCGGGCTGCGTGTCTTAACGCCATGTACTTGTACGTCGGGAGCGTAGTCAGCATAGCGTGCTAAATCATTCCTAATTTCGGATTCCTCTGGGGCTGATCTCTCTCTCTCTCTCTCGCGGCGGTTGTTGTCGCTCTCCCAGAAATCAAAACGCGCACTCCTCCCGTCGGCCACGCGCAAGGGGGACCTCTTGCCCGAGGCGCGGCTTCAGGAGGGCACGAGCGAGGCCGAATCCGAGCGCGCGGGCCAGCGCACGAGTGCTGGGGGAATCCCCGGGGGGGATCCCTGCGATGCCCGCACCGGCGGTCGCCCTGGCAAAAGGGCCACTCCTGAACGTGGCCACAAGGAGACCCCATCGATGCACTCGCCGGCCGCGTCCGCCTTCCTCGCCCTCCGCCGTCGCGCTCCCCTCTGCGTGACGCGCGAGGCGCGCCGCCGTCTTCGCGCAGGCCGCGCCGCTCGACCCCCAGGCCTCGGAGGCGTGGGGCGTGGGGAACTCCCACACGCGCGCCGCGAGGCGCGACGCGCGGCCACCGTCGCTCCCCTGCCCCTCCATCCCTGCCCTGCCCCGCCTCCCCCCCCTCCCCCGTGCGCCTGCCCTCCCGCCTCCCCATCGGGCGGCCCGCGCCAGGGGGCGGAGGGGGAGGGGGGAAGGCTTCATGTTGAATTCAAAAATCCCTCCCCCCCTCCCCCGTCCACCCGCCCTCTCGCCTCCCTCTCTGGCGGCCCGCACCAGGGGGTGCGGGGGGAGGGCGGGAAGTCTTCACGTGTGTAGCCAGGCTGCTGCTTTGAAGTAAAAAACAAGAAGCCTCGCCTTCGAAGGAGCAGGGGTGCTCCTACGAAGCCTTTTCCCCCCTCCCCCAATACCCCCTCCTCCCCTCTGCGCGTGGTCGGCCTCTCCTCCCTCCCTCCCTCGGTCCGCCCTCCCTCTCCTCCCTCTCCTCCCTCGCATCCCCTCCCCCCTCCGTCCCACCCCCGTCCGCCGTCCCCCCTCTCATCCCGCCCTCCATCTCCTCCCTCTCGATCCGTCCCCCACCCGTAGCATCATCATCAGCATCATCATCATCATCATCATCATCATCATCATCATCATCATCATCATCATCATCATCATCATCATCATCATCATCATCAGCATCATCATCAGCAGCATCATCATCATCATAATCATCATCAGCATCATCATCATCTGCATCATCATCACCATCATCATCATCATCAGCATCATCAGCATCCATCCTCTGACATCATCATCACATCATCATCGCCATTAGCATCATCATCGCCATTATGATCATCATCAGCAGCATCATTATTATCATGTCCATCAGCATCATCCTCAGCATCAGCATCGTCAGCATCATCACCACCACCAGCATCAACATCATCAGCACCATCATCATCACCATCATCATCAACATCATCATCGTCATCGTCATCGTCATCATCAACCTGACCACCACCACCGTCATCGACATCATCAGCATCAGCATCATCATCATCAGCATCATCATCATCATCATCAGCATCATCATCAACATCAACATCATCACCATCACCATCATCATCAGCATCAGCATCATCGGCATCATCAACAACAACATCAGCGGCAGCAGCAGCAGCATCATCACCAACATCAGCAGCACCATCCTCATCCCTCTTCCTCCTGCCCCTCCTCCTCCTCATCATCATTATCCTCCTCCTCCTTCTGCCCCCCTCCTCCTCCTCCTCCTCCTGCTGCTCCTGCTCCTCGCTCCTGCTCCTGTTCCTGCTCATGTCCCTGCTCCTGCTTCTGCTCATGTTCCAGCACCTGTTCCCTCCTCCTCCTCCTCCTCCTCCTCCTCCTCCTCCTCCTCCCCGTCCTCCTCCTCCTCCTCCTCCTCCTCCTCCTCCTCCTCCTCCTCCCTGTTCCTCCTCCTCCTCCTCCTTCTACACCTCCTCATCCTCCTCCTCCGCCTCCTCCTCCTCCTTATCCTCCTCCAGCCCCTCCTCCCGCCTCACTCCTGCCCCTCCCTGCTGCTCCTCCTGCTCCTCATTCCTGCTCCTGCTCCTGGTCCTTCTCCTCCCCCTCCTCCTCATCCTCCTCCTCCTCCTCCTCCTCCTCCTCGTCCTCCTCCTCCACCTCCAGCTCCTTCTGCCCTAGCTCCTCACCATGCTCCTCCTCCTCATCCTCATCCTCCTTCCTCCTTCTCCTCCTCCCTCCACCTCCACCTCCACCTCCACCTCCACCTCCACCTCCACCTCCTCCTCCTGCTCCTCATTCCTGCTCCTGCTCCTGCTCCTGCTCCTCCTCCTCCTCCTCCTCCTCCTCCTCCTCCTCCTCCTCCTCCTCTCAAGCACACGTGGCTCGAGGCTTCTCCGTACCCATCTGGGCTCTGGGCAATTTCGACGTCACGTCCCACGCCTCCACGTGGCGCTTGGGGGACGCCCAAGCTGCCGCACCGTGAGCTTTTCTGGGCGACGAAGTGGCACGCATCGTTAGAACAGCAGCGGTCTACCCGAACCTCTCTGGCCTCCGGCAGGTCCTGGTGCCCTTCAGCCGGCTCGTCCTCGTGCACCTGGCCGCTTTGACGGGGCTGGTTCACGTGTTCGACATGGGCATGGTTTGCCTCGGCTTCTGGCTGCGCTGGCACTCCTGTTACGAGGATACCCTTCGTGCAAATACCAGTGCTGTGCGCGGCCCGTCGGCGCGCCTTCTGCTGCCGTGTCGCAATGGGCTCGCGGCGCACCAAAGGCTGGGCAGTGGCTACTACGGAAAGGCTGGTCGCACGGGCCTTCGGCGCGTTCTCAGGTTCAGTGCCGCAGTGGGCCAGTGCCTCGTGGGCTGCTCGGATAGGGGGGCGGTTTTCAAACCTTTCGGCCTCTACGCCAATGCTTGGATCGGCATGTGCGAGAAAGGCGTGCAGTGGAAACTATTTCTGTCGGTGCGTAGCTCGCGGTGGGAGGCGAAGCTGGCCCCGACCGTTATCAATTACATCGCTGGGATCAACACGTGCGAGAAGGCAGGCAGCGGTGGGCCGTGGCAGGTATATGTATCGGTGCTAGGCTCAGCGACGGCGGTCCGTCGGCGCGTTTTCTCCTGCAGTGCCGCAATGGACCAGCTAAGACACGTGCTTGGGACAAGGCTGGCGTTTTTTTTTTTTTCTGTGGTGGGATTTGAATCTGGCCTGTCACACTTTCTTTTGATTGAGTCAAACACTTTCTGGCATGGTGTTCGGTTGGCGGCGTGCTGGCTTCAGTATGTTACATCCGCACCTTTCAGTCAGTTCAGAGTTGTCAGGCGTAGTGCCTGGGCCCGAGAGTTTCGCTATGTCGCTCGTTGGATGCAGGAGGGAAGAAACTATGCATGTGTTGCTGTCTTGCAAGGTTGTCTGTGGAGGGGACGATCTGGATGACGCACGTGAAAGGTTGCCAGCTATCTGTGGTGCAAATCATAGTAGGGCCGAATCGAGCCGAATTCATTTCAGCCAAATGTGTTACGCTATCAATGTGTGGTGAAACATCCATTTGAGGTGTGTACGGGGTGCTCGTCTTCCTCAAGCTCTGGCCATGTACCCGCGCTGAGGTCCGTCTTCGGGTTCGTCTCCTTCGTGGGTGAGCTCAAGGGGCGGCCTCTAGAGTGTTGAATCATATCGCACCGCGATGGGGCCCATTCCATTTCATTCCTCCTCCTCCTCACTCCTCCTCCTCCTCCCGCCCCTCATTCCTGCTCCTCCCTGCTGCTCCCCACCCTCCCTCTTCTGCATGGCGACGCGGGCCCCAGCAGTACCCAAAAAAACATCAACACGACAGCAGACTCGTCTCGGAGGTGACGAAAGGGTTGGATAGCAAAAGGCAGGGTAGAGAATCAGCTCACGTAGCTGGTTTGCCTGGCGCTTGGAGGCGCCCACGCATCGAGAAATGGGCCAGGCGGCGGGGGCGAAACGAGCTGCGTGCAGCAGATTTCGTACGCCCCCCTTTCCCTATCCTACCCGTTCGTACGGCCCGACAGACTCCTCCATGGTCCATGATCGTTCTTCGCCTTCAGGGGTGGGCGCTGAAACCCACCCCCTGGCCGTCCTGCGTGCGCCGTTACAGCTCGGCGGCTGTTGGGCACGCGGGCTTGTCTCTCCACTGGGCAACAACACCGGCGATGCCAGCAGCGAATCCTGTTCAAACAAAGCGAGAATTGCTGTTGGACTTTGTGCCCCATGTTTCCGTCCCGTTTTTCATCGTCCCGATGCGAGGGGGGTGCTGGGACCCAGCCCCTGGCCGTCCTGCGTGCGCCT